GAAGTATAAATTATATACCCCAAATTTAATAATTTTGTTAACGAGTGCAAAACGGTGTAAACAGTTGGAATATAAATACGGATTGCAAAAAATACATGGTGTATGGCTGTCCATGTGATGATTATTGTGCTTAATGAATTAGATATGCCAAAAATATGAAAAACAATTAGCAAAAGGCGGTTGTCCAGATGAAATTTCCCACATAAGCATACCAATACTGTAAATATCTGATGAAAATGTATATCCATTTCCATTAATAACTTCAGGTGCGATATAAGGAAGATTTCCATATACGCTTTCTAATGGTTTATCAGCAGGACCGCAAAATCCAAAATCACTAATATTCCAAGAGTTAGCTATTTTACTAAATAGTATATTTCCTGAATGCAAATCTCTATGAATAAATTTTTCTTGTTGAAGTTTTAAAAATTGCATTAATTATATATATTATTATCGTTATATCATTTCTTTGTTTCCATGTAAGCTGATTATGATTTTGTTGTAAATATTTTTTTAAATCTATTTTATATGAAACCATTACTAGAAAATAATCTTTATTTTGTAAATCTCGCGTTAGACCACAATTTTGAGCGAAATAACCAAATTTGCTACTCAATATTGATTGAGATTCAGCCTATAACAGAGTATTCAATTGATTAGTTTCTTTCTTTTTTATAAATAAAATGTCAATTATCAATACCTCTTCAAACCAATTTCTATTAGCACTTTCGACATTTTCTAATCTTTTGAGTATTACATTTTGATCTCCACATCTTATTAAATTGTTTCCGATAGAATCCCATTCGAAATAACCTCCATTAATCCAAACTGCTGTATAAATTTTAGAGCATCCACCTTTAGTTAGATACTCAATATTTTGTAAATTATTATATGGTATCCACTCAACTATTTTATGAGGTTGGATTGCTTCTGTTTGACATTTTTTTATTAAATTATCAATTTCGTTATTTCCAGATGTCCATTCCGAAAATTTTGCTTCTAAATAACTTCGAATACAAAGTTCACAATATGATATTGCTAAACATTCTTGTTTGCAACTTTCACAAATTCTTTTAATTCCTTGATTAAAATTTAGTTTGTCACCTTCATAATTATCAATTATAATTCGTATTGCCTCTGATTTTTCCTCGTTTGTAAGAGATTCATCAGCGTAAATTGTTTGTTGTCTAAATTCATACCGTTCGTCTATAGCTTTATTAAAATTAGTTAATGCATATGCTCTACTCAAAGCTTCATTAACTAATTTCAAACGAATGGAGGCCATATGCTCTACTCAAAGCTTCATTAACTAATTTCAAACGAATGGAGGCCATTATAAAAAATAATTATTTAAAAAGTAAATTTAATGGGGTTACGGAATTAGGTTTCGTTTTAAAATTCTTGCCAATTGTTTTTATGCATGTGAAAATAATTTTTAAAACTTACCGCAAAGTAGTTAGAATATGAGATTATGTTCGGCATAACATCACACTATTTGTCATAGCAACGTAAGAGCACGTGATATAGTTTTTTTTTGAGGTAATAACTTTAACCAATTAAATTCTCGATAAATGTAAACATTTTTTGTCATGTCGCACCTGACCTTTTATGTAATGATTTAGTTGGAATTTGAGATATTGAATTAAATCTTTAACTTAGAACGTGCTTGAGAAAAGGAAGAAAAAGACCTTAATTTTGTCGTTAATTAAATGTTAGACTAATACCGGTACGGTAACATGCTGTTCATGCTATAAGTCAAAAAATTTAGAAACAAACAATGCTATTCGAGATGTTGATGTTCGTTCCAAGCATTTCTCAATTTTAATGAAGTGTACAAAAGTGATATGTTAAAATTAGTTTAAACAATCAATACCTAATGAATATTATTATGAATACTTTTTTCAAATAAAAAAATTTTTTTTATGTTTAGCCTATTTTTAAGAAACATATTTTCATTGATTACTAGTGCACTATCGTATTAGGATGGAATCGTTTCTACCAAAATCGAATATATTTAGATGCGCAGTAAGAATACAATAAAATAGTAAGAATAAATAACCATTTTGAGAATAAAATCTTTGATCCCAATCGATCTCGAAAATAAAAAAAAATCACAACGGGTACTTCCGAAATGATCCAAGCAGTGTATGATTTTCAAACCTAAACATATATACGGAAAATGCACACTAATATGATGAGAATATGTGCAAAAATTGTGATGAATAGTGCGCAAATATTATAAATTAAATGTTAAGTGCGGACCGCGCACAAATATTTTTTTGAAACTTGCGGAAATTCAACAATCATGTGCACGCGCACATAGCCGCACTACTGTGCAATTATAAAGAATAACTTTTTAAAATAATTCGATCATTGCGGCCCGATGCGTAAGAACCCGAAAGTATAAAATATGAACGAATCGACTGCGTCTCTAGCACATTATTTTTTATTTTTTGCCTAAATGATTTCGCTTTTGTAAATCATAAGTTTTTCAAAGAGAATTGTACACCCTTTCTACTGTAAAGTACTCATAATATAATAATCTCACATAGTCATAAACTCGAAGAACTTAAAAAGTCAAGCCTTTATTTATTCATTTAAAGTATTCGTCAATAATTCTTATTATCCGAATAATCCTGTACATTTCATATAACTTACATTATTATACAGATACTTTTTGTTAATAATTATATTTATTATTACCGATCAATTGCGATTTATTGTTTCTCTTCGATAAATCACTTGGAGATCTTCAATAATTATAAAAATTCCTTAATATATTTTCGGTTTCAGTTAATACTTCAATAAAAAAAATTGAGTTCAAATGAAATCAAGTAATATAACTAATTACTGAATATAACTAACCATTTATTTAATTAACAATAAGATTTCTTTTGTTCGATTTCATTAAAAATCCTTATTTCATCCTATCTTAAAATAAAGTAATAATTAGTGAATTTATATTTAAAATAGTAACTGCTTCGAACCTAATTTTATTCTAGTGATGAAAGACTAAAAAAACTGAAACCACAATTTGCATTAAATGTAAATAATATCCAAGTTCTGTTTTCATGAAAGATTTCATCGATATTCCAGTAAGAACTTGTGGATCAAGTTCTTGCCAACAACATAATCATTCTAACTTTGTGCGTGATATGCTTTTTTTTATCAGAAACTGATAAGGCGTTTCATCTTCTGTAATAAAAAATAAATTAGAGATTATTGAATGAATAATTCGCCGTAGAATTTGTGACAACAATAGCATCCATCCAATTGGGAATTGAAACTGGGTCCCTAAATTTTCCATGATCTTTCAATATTTAAAGATTTCGTCATAAACTTGTCAATTTAATTGATTCACTAAAGAATGATGGTGTAGAATATAATTGCCTGGCAAAACTCTCGGGTTTTGTTGGGGTCATTGGCAAAACTATAATAAAATCTTATTGGCAAAAGCGTCGTAACTCGAACCATAATAAAATCCCGTCCAAAGTCAAATCTATATTAAAAGAATTATTAAAAAATCAGAGTTTCGAATTTTGCCATTTGCTAAAATGAGTTTTGAAAGCAACTATAGAGTAGAAGAACTTAGGAACAAGAATTCCTATGAAGTGCCCAAGAATCTAGATTTTGATTAATACTATTCCACTTGTATCTAATCAATCCAGTTCATCAACAACTTCAGAACATGCGTTACGCATGATAAAGTTTGTATTTTTAACCGAAAATGTCCTCAACAACCTTTCCTGCTATACTAATAATCACAACATGGCGTGCACTTTAATTATAAGTTTCATACACATCCCCTTGCATGTTTCTGTTGCTGATAAATCATTCACAATTTTCCAATAATTGGTAAGGGAAAAGTCCGGATAATTTAATTGTAGGTTAAAATAACTAATCTGACATCGAATTACGTATGCTACTATAGTTAAACTTCAAATAGTTTTAATTTTACGTCTACGAACATTTTTTAATTTATTTTTTTTTTTTTTCGAGTTAAGGTTGGGTTGGGTAAAAAACAGATCGGTATAAAATTACATGAAGTAAAAATTAATAAAGAAAAAATAAATGTGATATTTTGAGAATAATTGAAATCGATTCTTATCTGAAGTTGAAATTCAGAGTCTAAAATTGAGATTCCTTTTTTGTTATCTGAAGTCATGATCATATTGGTCAATTTCTGTGTAACCATTTAGTTTCCTCAAAGTGTGCATCATTCTGTGGCTGTCTAGAATCTTGTTTCAACTTCACTTAAGCTCAGCATTCTTAGCAGTAGTATCCGTCCTACTCTTCTCCAACTACTCTTGAGCTCGGCCTTCTCAGCAGTTCTCTCTTCTATAACCTGCTTTAAAATCTTGGCCTTCTCAGACTCAAGCCCAGTAATCTTAGCCATAAGTCTAGCTTTCTCATGTTTAAGTTAATCTCAGATTCAAGCACTTTCATACGCTATATACAAAAAATAAACACGTGAATTTGGGCGAACTCAGTTTGCTGAAAAAAATTTTTTGATCAAAAATATGTTGGTTAGTGTTTAAATGCAATAAATGTTAAAGGATCGCAAAATATATACAATAAAATGCTTTATGTATATGAAACCAGCGTATAAACATTTTTATTATTCCGATGCACATACACGCATTCAGTGTAAAAAATTAAGCCCAATGTAGGTGAATCTTTGCATAGATTGTGACAGCTTGTCATGATATTACGATTATTATTATGATTATATGATAAAGTTATAAAACAGAAACATTAATTAATATCACGAGTTAAGAAAAATTCTTGAGATATATTATATAATGCAAAACATGCATTAAGCTAATAAATCTATCTATTGGCTGAATAATGAAGGAGTAAAATGTGAGACTTATGCACATAAAGATAAACAAGTGGGGAGATGAAAAAATACTGTACCTCAAACGCTCTTGCAACTTTCCAAGCCAATAAATATCATGTTCTTTTATAAGGAAGGTGTCAGGTTTCACATTTGTAGGCCACTATATTGAAATATTCAATGATGACGGATACTTATCCACTCCATGCTTTCCACACCAATCAAAATATATGAGCATTGCTCGTTGTATTTCATTTTCATCATACACTAGAATGTTTGGAAGACGGAGATCCGCAAACACATAGTTATTTGAATGTAACAATTCTATTGCAAACTTAACATCGTCATAAATAATATTATTAGATCTAATCTCGCGTTGATTAAGTTTCCTATCCAGCGAGATACCAACAAATTCCATAATAATCATCCTATATTTTCCAAGAGCTAGGAATTCATTTTTAGAGCTTTGGTATAATAGTTTCGGGGCATAACCCCTTCCACTGCAGATATTATGTGCTGTCATATTGTAATTTTTCACAAATTTCACGACAATATCATAATTATTCTCCATATTCATTGTTCTAGCTTTCCAGATATTTCTTGTGTGATCATCTTCCAGCTCTTTGATGTAGATAAAATTTACATTTTTATTATCTAATTTAAAACTTCGAAGATAGGGAAAATACCTCTGTTCTACCTGTCTAAGTAGAGTTAAGTCTAAATTATTGTAAAAATTGCCGAGTCGTACTAAAGCAAGTCGTAACGCCTGAAAAAGGCGTGCGATCCGATTCATTTGGTCATCATTTAGTACGTTGATTGTAAGAGGAATGATATCTGTTAGTGGCTGGACCACTACCCTGTTAAGGAAGATTCCTCCGAGTATACAAATCCATGGTCCGGCAATGGTGATAATGAAGGATGGTACGCAACAGCAATCTCGAATTTGTTCAACCTAAATGGAAGGTATCACATGAGCACATGAATTCGTACAGCAGAGGAATAAAAATTAAACATACTACTGTCTGAGACCAGTAATCTCGGTAATAAATTGATCCTTGAAGACTAGGATCAGTTCCACCTGATCCAATCTCATTCTTTCCTTCGATTATCCCAATATAAGCATCAAGAAGGCCTACTTTAGCCGTAAGTAATCCATCGCACTGGAAACCTTTCCCGTAACTAGTCAATGCTATGGTGCCAAATTTTTTCGAAAGTATCTCTCTCATTTTCTTCATACGTCCATCTTCGTTTAAATATCTGTCTGCTGATGCGGAAATAATATCCATGACCCACTCCAAAATTTCATGAGGTACTTCCAGTTCTATATTATTAAAATCTTCAAGGAATTGTGTAAAGTTTCTATTGTAAATACTAATAGGAGGACCAGTAAGTTCAAGCGGTCGACCATTAAGGATTGGGTTATTTATTTGAGTCGTGAAAAAGGTAGAAGGCTTGGCACCAGACGAAGGGGGTTTCGCTTTAAGGCCAATATTAACAGTTTCCCTGTATTCTGTGATGAAGGAAAAAAAGAAATAAGACATGGATTTCAACTTTGATACCCTGAAAAAGAAAAGGTAACCTTTTTCGCGCTTTATCCGTTTAATTTCCGACTCTAAAGGTAAATCTGATTGAAAAAGTGCTCCTTCTGGAGGTATTGGAAATAAATGAGTTGTCAATGGTTGAGTGCTCGCTCACGGGTGATCAAAGGTAAAAAAGGAAACCAAGTTCACGACCAAGTTTAAGCGCCTCCAATTGTGCTCTCAATTCTTCTGTTGCTTAATTCCGTAATGCAAGACACAAGTTAGAAAATGACATGACAGCGAATAAAAGCAGTATAGGTTGGAATAATGAACGATTGATGACACAACGCAAAACGGTAATAGCTATCAAAGCCTGTGTTCACTTGCGTTATTACACTTACTGGTGGCTTCTACGATAACGTGAGTGTGTATTTTGGGCAGTGTTTGGCGATAAGAAGCAGGAAAGAAAAGCAAAAAATTAAGCAAGTACTTGTTATTATTAGCGAATATGACAAAGACATGCTATGTCACGTTTGCTAGATTTGTTATGACTCACCAGGTACCTCTACGATAACATGAATGAGATCTTCGGGCGGTGCTTGATTTTCAGGCCAGTAAGTAACAATTCTCCGCATGTCCTTCATTAAAACTACATTGTCACCGTTATCTTGAAATGTGAAGTTTTGAATATCGGAAATATGTCCGTCACCAACAGGGTTCTTAAGCTTCAACAGCTTAAGTCTATCGGCGTCAACTTTAGCAAAATCATTTTTTTCCTCTCTTTGATAACTTCCTTAATTTTAGAAACACGGTTATCCCTTCCTACAGTAATGTCGAAAATAGAAGTACTTCCACGAACCCAACACCAAAGTACGATAGGCGTTCCAGAAATCGTAAATGTAGACATTTTGTACGTTCTTATTTGTATGACAATGGACAAACGGGGAAGAGTTTTTTTTTGTAATATGGAACTTTGGGATATATATGGGTTCATGGACTAGCAAAATGCCCCTCTGAAAAATATTTTACTTTTTGAGAAAATTAGAACTTAAAATTTGATCACGTCATTGTTTACAGTTTATTTTTAGAATAAAAAATCAATGTGATACAAAATTTTAAAAAATTTTTAATTTTGTACGACCATGTCTAACTTTAATAACTTTGACGATAAAGAAAATGACTCAACCTTTTCTTTGGACAATGTTGTTTTGGAACAATATGAAAAGAATGAATTTATGCAAGCAGTTATTAATGACTTAAAACAATTTTTTGTTTTTGCTAACTGTACTTGCCGTAATAAAAGAGAAAAATGTTTTAAAGAAGTTGGGTTTGAAGCTTTTCTTGAAAGACATTTAGCATTTCAAAGTTTAGAAAAAAAACAACTGGAATTTGTTTTAATGGGTCAACTATTAGCTTTCCTTAATAATGACAAAAAAAATATTTTTTTAATTATCATTTTAATTTTAAAATTTCCTTATGTAAAAACACTTAAACTTGTTGGCATTAAAGATGAAACTTTAAGAGCCATTAAATATCATTTATTAACGGAAGGATTGGTAGAATGACAACATGTAAATATGAGAAATTTTCCTAAAGTAACATCGTGTATTACTATTAATCAAGTATTGGCTACAATTATTTATAACTTTATTACCAATTATGCAAATATTTATACCAGGTTATCATATGCAAACAGATTCTTTAGCAATTATTTTATTGCCAACTGAAAAAAATTATACTAGTGTTATGAGGATTTTGTTATAACTAATAGAGAATTAGATAGTAATATATTAGTAATATCATACAAGAGTTTCATTTGACTTTGAAAGAGTCTTATACCACATGTTAAATTTATGACATCTGCAAAAGATTTATATGATGTGTCTGAAATATTAAAAAAAAAAATTCAATATATAAAAAACCTTGATGAAAAAAGTAAAATAGGATTAGATTTAAAGAATCATAAAAATAAAGCAGAAAAGGAATGACAATATTATAATAATATTATTACAATTAGTAATACACATGAAGAAATTATTCATATTTGCTATAACTGGACACAGAATGTTCCTATTCCTTTTTCATCACAATAAGTTGGTCAAATTTATTTTAAAACTGCTTTTGCAGCATATATTTTTGGTGTATATAATACAAAATAATAACCTTTTGCGTAACAATTAAATTATATTATAGGTGAAGATGAATTTCCAAATGAAACTGCAGAAAAAGGTACCAACACGACCATTAATCTTGTATTTAATACATTAAGCAAATTTTACCAAGGAGAATAACATTTAAAAGTCACTTGTGATAATTGTACAGGTCAAAACAAGAACAATTTTTCTTTATTTTTTTGGTCTTAGTTAATAATGGTGAAAACATACAATACTATTTAAGTTAATTTTATAGTGATAGAACATGTAAAATTTTTACCAGATGAGTATTTTGGTAATATCAAAACTCTTTTTCGAAAAACAAGGGTTAATACAATAGATAACGTTAAACAAGTAGTAAATAAATCTACTAAAAATGATTCCAATTGTATTGTTCGTTATGATAGAGGAAATGGGTGGCTTTATTATAATTTTGAATCATTTTTAAAACTTAATTATAAAGATTTACCTGGTATTCAAAAATATCAGCATTTTTAGTTTAAAAGAAGTAAATTAGGAAAAGTTTTTATTCAAAAGGAGGTAGCAGGAAAGTTTTGTACTTTTGATATTTTAAAAAACAAGAATTTTAATCCTATGACACTGATTACTGTATTATCATCCAAACTTTTATAATTAATGTGTCAAAAATATTTATATAAAAATATTCAAAAGTTTGTTAATGATCCATTTCAGGATATTATATATTCTAAGCCATAAATAAAAATTAATATTTTTTTTATATCAAAATTTATTTGCTTAATTAAGAATGCATATTATACTAATTTTAGATTATCGATCTTTTTTTTGAAAAAGAAATTTTTGTGTAAATATTTTGATAATTTATTATACTTATATGCTTAAAAAATTAGATTATTATATAGTTAAGCATATCAGGCTTATATTAAAACAAAAAAAAATTTTTTTGACAGAGGGTCTCAGAGAGGTATTTTGCTAGTCTATAACCCATATATGAAATCAATTGTTGTATAGATTGATTTGACTCATCAATTGATTACAAAAATCATGTTTTACAATACTTTATATAAAAAAGTGCTAAACTTTGAGATCGTAATACACATCACAGTCTAAGGATTTCATAATTTTTAAATATCAGATGATAAGCGAGAAGAATATTCACAGTACTTTATTAATATATGCAAATGATAAAAAAATAAATATAAGCGTGAGAGTATATGATAAAGTTATTATGTTATAATTGCGAACTTGTGTTTATTGCTTAAAGTATTGCAGGTAAAACAATATTTCAACTTATCTTGAAAATACAACTTCACTAATTTAGAATCGTAGGAAAACTGATTTCTATTCTTACGGTACTATGAGTCATGTAATCCATAATTCTCATGTTTTTCATCACAAATAGGACATGGTGAGCTTCACAGCTGAGGTAATGCAAAATTATAATTATCAAATCCCTAAAACTATTTTGGAATTTTAGGTATGTGAAATGCTTTAAGATAGACTTGATAATTAATTCTAGATCAGGTTTGACTTTAAAGGTGATAGGTCCTTTTTCTTCATATTGTTCAGAAAAAGATTAATCAGATACTTTGTTTCTGATATTAAATTTATGATTTCTAATGCATGTACTTCTAATAATTGCTATGACTCATATCCAGTTTCTTTTTTATATTTTTTGTATAAGCTAAACTGAATCTTATTCGTCAAAATACTTAATAATTCAGTTAATTTGGTATGCCAATCTAGGTATTCAGGAGTTAATATTTTATTAGTCTTGAACATATCTTTTTATATGATTGCAAATCAATTTAAATTAGGTGATAGTTAACATAAATTAGTTCTGTAAAAAAATATCACAAGAAGTATAAGCAAATATAATATTATCAAATAATAAGACTATGCAACTATTTCAATTTCATACTATTCACATTTAATAAAATAAAATTTGGCTTTATATCTACTTCTATGCTTTTCTAATTATTATGATCTAAACTGCATAATGGGCATAATATTTCATTAGTAATACCATAATAATCGAAATTTTTACTACTAAATTCTCTATATAAAGTAGGATATTGATTCAATGTTTTGTTGCAAAAATAGATTCAATCATAACTTGGGTTAAATCAACTGGAAAAAGATGCAAATAATATATTTATTAATGTATTTACAGCCTTAATCTGATTTTCAAAGAAAGTTTTCAAAGTCACATGACTCTGATTGTAAAGAATTTTTATAGTTTTATTGTGTAAACTTGTTACTGAATTCACATGATCTATAATATTTTGTATTTGTAAATAACTGAGGCCCGAAATAGCATCAGTACTGTAAGAAACGTTTTATTTTCTCTATTCCTAATGTACTGAATAATTTATATAATTTCTAGCTCTAAGGATTTATTAACGTGAATTCACATCTGTTATTTCAGGTAGACTGCTGTTTGATTTCTTGATATACCATAGATGTTGTAATATTTTTCTTAACTCTACTAGCAATAAGGTTATCAATCCTTTTGTCATATTTTTCTATAAAGTAGTACCAATATAAAATTTCTTCTTAATCAAACTTATTAGCTTTCTTAAACATGTAAACTATATTTTGTGTGGTATCTAAAGATAGATCTTATTCTTTTAAAGTTTGATCTGATATAGATGTATGTGCAAGTGATGATTATTATTGTTTAACTTCTGTTTCACAATTTATTTTTATCCAACTTGACAATAACTTCATGCAAATCAGATTTAAGTTCTTCTATATCATATGACTCGGATTGTGAAGAATCTTTATGGCTTTTAAAATTATATGTTAATTTGAATGCATTAACTTGCGGTTGTTTCGATAAGACATAAGATGCAGATTTTATGCTCTCAGAACTAGCCTCATAAGATTATGATAAGTTTTGCTCATCTTGCTGTAAAATTAATATGTTCATAACTTCAAGAATTTTAGTTATGTCCTGAGAAATTACGGGTGCCTTTTGATCTCTCTGCTTCTTTTCCTACCTCTAGAGCTCCAAACAGGTCAGTTTAAATCAAGTCAATCAAGTTACCTGAACTAAGAAAACCGGGTCAAGTCAAACAAAAATCTGACCTGATTTAAATTTTCATTTGACCTGACCTGACCTGACCTAATCTAACCTAATTTGATCAAATTATTTAAATTATTTAATAAATAATATATTATATTTAATTCAATTTAAAACTATAATTTATTTTGTTATTTTCTTTTGCTTTTTCTGTAAAAAAATTGTATGCGAAATGATATGAAAATTTTTAATTTGATGATTAATTACTTAATTACAGTTGCACGATTAATTATAGTTATACTGAAAATCAATTTTCCAATCAATTTTTTTTCTTTTTTTTAACAAAAAAACACTTATATTTTATTTAACATAATCTTTAAAAAAACATCCTTATTTTTTAAATACTTAAATTTGTAAGTACTTTTACCAAATGTAATTATTTTTATTTTTGTAAATTTAAATTTTTATATATATTTAATATCTTTTTTTATAAACATTAATACAGAGATTTCATGACAAATTTTAAGCACTTTAGTTAAAGTCAATTACCTTTCATCTCTATGTGAAAATTGTTTAGCAGATTCGATACTATTTATATCTAATGTTTCATATTGACTGAATTAACATATTCGTGTAGAAATATTTTTTTTTTAACTTTACTAAATAAGTTACACTTTTTTAAATTCACAAGAAAATTTGAACACTTTGGTCAAAGTCAATCACTTTTTATTTCTAAGTAAAAGTTGTTCAGCAAGTATAATACTATTTATATATAAAAGTTAATCTTGATTAGATTAATATTCATGTTGTAATATGTGTTTTTATAACTTTATTAATATCGCAGACCTTTTTTTAACTTCACAGAATAATTTAATCACTTTAGTTAAAATAAATAGCTTACTACGCATTAAGTAAAAAATGTTTTATATATCCAAATCTATATACATATAAATTTTTAACTCACGTAATTTAATATCATTAAGTAATAGCTTTTCATAACTTATTACTTCTCAAATTTTTTTGTTTTTTTTGAATATTATATTTGTGTATATTGTATCAATATAATGTATATCGCGAATTACCACACTTTATAAAAAAAAGTATCAAATAAAATATTTAAAAGTTATTATTTTGTTTTAATATAATTAATTTTCTTTAAATAAATTTAAAAAAAACTATTTTTATTGATTTTTATTGTATTTTTAAGATTACATAAAACAGTAATTTATATAATAATTAAATATTACAATTATAGTTTTTCATGTAGAATTTTATTCTTTTTCAAATATGTTTTTTGATCACCTAAAAATAGCTTGTTTTTTTTATTTTTATTTTTTAAACAGGAATTAGCATTCCTAATTCAGTTGGTAACAACTGAGCTCCTATTGTGAGTTACACTACAATAGCTACAGGTTCAGATCTCAGCTGAGACATAAACTTAGATGATTTTCATAAGAATTTCATATGTTACTGAATATTATGCGCATATACAAATTATGTAGAATATGAAAACAAATCATAAAACTAATATATTATTACAAAATAAATATGTATATTTTTAAAAAAAATCAATCAATTCTTTATTATATTTTTTTATAAAGTAATACATGAGAAAAGGCCTATAGAAAAAATTATCAAAAATTTATTTTTTAACATTTTAAATTCTCTGATAGCCCGTTAGTGAAAATCATATAACTGTAATGTAATGTTAACGTGCAATTTTGGTAGATCGCTACAGTTAAACGAGGTGTTCGAGTGTTGTTTCTTTTTAATGTACGCAGTA